CCAGTATCTCAGCAGATTTACCAATACCCTAGTGGATAATGGACATCCTCTGAGACGCCGTCTAATGTGCTTCGAAGCTGTTATTGCTGCTGTGGAGCAAAGTGTCGAGGAAGATCCGTATGAGTCCAACAGCCAACGCGCACAACAATTGGAGCTGTGCCCTTTCACTTTATCGAAGATTTTGCGAAAGGATTTTGGCTGGCGGGCTTACGAAATTCAACTCGCGTACGAATTGAAGCCGAAAAACAATCAAGCTCGTCGTACGTTCGGTGAATGGGCCCAAAACGACATGGCCACCGATTCCTATTTTCGCACTATTGTTTGCATGGGTACGTTAATAACGTACGTGGACGACTTTTGGTTCCAGCAAGACGGTCATATATACCGATATACCGATGAGAACATCCTCAGGATCTTGGGGCCAAACATACGGCAATTTTTTAGGCAAACTTTTGTGTTTCCGGTGTATCGATAGAAAAAGGGTTTTTGTCAGCAAAACCAATTCGGGCTTTTTCACAATTCTAGGACCGCGCGGTCTCTGTCAATACTGTCATTAAACAATCTATACGTCTTCATTTTAAGAGATTGTTACCAGTACAGAGCCGTAACCGAATTCTTCTAGGATGCAACCGAAAGAATCACTTCTACAGATAACTATTTGAGTGACGTACATGACTCCGCGGATTCGTTCGGTAATAATTAACAGAACTGAGGGACAACCCCTATTCAAATCAGACCTTAAACGCTATATTATAGACTATACTCAACTCTCTTCCGGGCAATGGTGTAATTGGAACCCAAAACCTAGTGAAGAGCTCAAGTTGATGAAGTCTGCAGACTGTAGCAGACATAAGCTCTTACTTATCTAGACTCTATCTAGTGACCACCCAGAGTTTTCGTATGATACCAACTACAAAAAGAAGAGATTCCGCTTTAAGCCGGATTGAGTCTGTCGAAACAGTTCGTTTTCTCTTCTCTTATTAGATTGCCCTGATAATATCGGTTGCACTCACTTAGCTCTAAGCGGGGCTCATTGTACAGCCACCAAAATAAGGAAACTAACAAAGTAGGGAAATGTGCTCTCAGCTGAGATCAACTGGTCAATTTAGGTATTCGTTTTAAGGAAAAAGTAACAACTGTTTCTGGCTTGGGCTAACCGTTGAGATCAACTGGTCAATCCGAACCCTTTTTCCAATGAATATTCCACTTCTGAAAATCGATAAAATAGGCCGATAACGACGAAGGTATAATAGAAAGAGAGTTTTTCTACTTTATAGTCTACCATGGTGGATTTAATGCATCACTAAAATAATACAATACAAACCTGATTTTTCGTTAAGTTAAGAAATTCAAATAAATTTCGAAAATTTCAAAGAAAGTGAAATTACATTTGCACTAAATAGAAATATTTACTTTATACATACCGCTAAAAGCATATTTTTGAAAAAAAAAAAAAAATTCTACTAAACAAATTTATTTAGTAAATGTATCGTCCCTGTCTCACTGGCGCTAAGTACACCATTAACATTGCTGAGTGGCAACAACACTGTAAATACATATGGAGATATTTGTGAACTTCTTCTTCTCCTTCACAGACAAAAGTGCACTGAAGTGCCTGCAAACAGTGCAGTCAGGAAGTCAATCAACCAAACAATATACATACAAGCAAACTCATTGTCATACCCGCTGAGAAGAAGGCTGTTGGTACTGTTGTTGTTAACCTCAAACAGGACATTTGTATGCAGTGAAGCGAAAATATTCATATATGTCTTGGTCCTGCTTTTTAGAGACGTACATATATATGTATTTCTATTAAGAAAATACCAAGAAAAAGTTAGGGGCAAAAATCTGCCTGGAAAAATAAACAAAATATGTTAGTAAGTATTAGCAATAACTTTAAGTGTTATCATTGCTGTCGGATCTTTTTGACTCACAGAGACTTGCACTCATAAGGATATGAAGAAGTGGAGTCAAGTAGATCAATTCCTCACCACTCAATTCTTGTTTGCAATCTTTGATCTTTTCTCTTTCTTTTGCTTCTAAACACATGGCAGCAGTAGAGAGTGTGTGCGGAGTTTGCAAATATTTATTTAGAAGCGAAGTAAGCAGATGTTTGTTGCCTTTATTTTAAATAAATATTGAAATGGAAATTTATTTTTGGTAAAAAAAAATTTAAGAAATAAGTGAAAGTGTGTGAAAATTCTTGAGTTGAAGTAATTCACAATTATACTATAAAAAAGCAAAATACAAATAAAAAATCTGCCAAAAAAAATTATGAAACACGGTCATTTTTTTCGCAGAATTCATCATTTATATTTTTCCACATACACAAAATTCATATTTTAGTATAATCATAAAATTCAATTAATGTTCAAATTTCACTACTCATATTCTACATTAATTTCCAAGATCAGCTGTTGGTCTCATATCATGCCCACTTAATTGCTCATTTATTTTGAACATTTTAAATACACAAAATTTAACATTTGTTTGCTGTTCATTTTAACGAAATCACATTTCATTAGACATAAAAAGAAAATTGCAAATATTCATATTCATTTTATGTGTTTTCGAAATTTTCGAAAAAAAAAATATTATTTAAATATAAAATATGAGTTTCTGCTTGTTGGTATATATTTTGAAAAGCTGACAACAAATGTTTCGGCCTTTAGTAACAAAAATACAAACATATGTTTGTATGTACACTATTGAACTAGCAGATAAATAAAATTTAGAAATATAATTTTTGATTTTTTCAACATTTTTTAATTTTTATTTGTTTTTCTTTTGGATGTTTGAACTGTACTTTAAATTTATATCTTTTAAATATATGTATTTTATTAATTTTTATTTCCTTTACTTCTAAATATTTCAATTTTACCTTTAGATTATAAAGAGTAAATACACCGTCCTCCCTGCAATTTCACCTGTACTTTATATTTTTAATTGTTTTAATAATTTTTTTATCTCTATTTTTTTTGCGTTTTAGTTTTTAACTTTTACTTTTATTTTTCATTTTAATACTTTTTAATTTTTTTAAATTATTTTTCGTTTTAGATTTTAAGTTTTAATTTCTATTAGTTTTACTTTTGGATTTTTGAACTTTATTTGATTTTTTTATTTTGAATTGTTTTACTTTTGAATTCTTAAACTTTGCTTTAACTTTACGTTTTATTATTTCTTTCAAATTTTTTATTTTGCTTTAGCTTTTAACTTAAATATGTTAAAAATACTTTTTTTTTTTAAATTTTATTCATTTTGCTTTAAATCTTTTCATTTTCTCTTTACTTTTCATTTTAAATTTTTTTATTTATTATTAATTACCTTTGTTTTTTATTTGCTTTACTTTCAATTTTTTAATTTTAGTCTTATTTTTTAATTTAATATTTTTTTTTTAATTTTATTTTTTGTTACTTTTGAATTTTTTAGTTTCGCTCTTTATTTTATATTTTGAAATATTGTACATTTTATTTTTATCTGTTTTAATTTTATATATTAAATTTACATTTAGTTTTGATTTTTAATTTTTATTTTCTTTTATTTTTTTTACTCTTTTTTTGAATATAACTTTTACTTTCAATTTTAATTTTAGCTTCACTTTTTATTTCATATATTTCTTTTTTAATTTTAGTTTCTTCTTTCCTTTAAATATTTTAATTTTAATTTCAATTCTAAATATTTTAATTTTTATTTGTCTTACATTTTGAATTCTGAATTTGTGCAATTTTTCTTGTAATTTTTGTTCATTTTTATGTGTCTATGTATATATTTTCAATTTTTATTTCCTATATATATAAATAATTTTTTATTTTATTCATTTTTTACTTCTTGAATTTTTGATTTTTTAATTTTATTTGTATTTTTTATTTCTTTTCAAATATTTGTATTTTATTTTATTTTTAGTTTTTCATATATGTAAAAAAAAAAAACATAGCTTTTCAAACGCACCAAACTGACAGCAACAAGAACAAGCAGAAAACCGCATGACCAATGGTCGGCCACCAGCAGCGTCGCTTATGAAAAACTATTGCAAATAATATTTTTTTCTTCACATTAATATAATTATTTCTTTCACTGTTGTTGTTATATTTATAGTTTTAATTTGTGTGCTTGTCCAAAAAGCTGTTTTGTCTCAAATTCATGAAAATGAATCGGTCTTGTGACGACTGGCTTTTGCGCTATGTACCATACACATGTACTGGCGCAGGCGGTGCGATTGCCGAATTACTTTTGTTCACACTTAATACATATGTACATAGATACATATGTGCCTTTGCATGTGAATATATAAAACGATATGCTTTCCACCGCACATTGCTTATTGTCAAGGTCATTGAGAATTCTAACCGAAGCGCCAATGGCTTGCTTGGCTGCCGCAACAAACACGATCTTATAGCAATTTTTCCATGCGCTTTCTTTCAACGCATTACGCATGCATATGTATGGATGTAAATTGTGATTTTTATATACGTGTATGTACATACATAAGCAGGTATGTATGTAATATTTATATGTATAATATTTTCACAACCCTGACACTAATTATATGGTTATTTATTTTATTTTTGATGCGTGCAAAAATGCTATGATGCTTCGGAATGTAACTGTCACAACACTCACGGTTGCATCGCATCACACTGCGCGACGTCAAAGTAATGACAACTTTGTATAAATATTTTTTTTTTGTTTTTAGTATGAAATTTAAATTTTATAGTGTTTGCTTAAATTTATGATTGTTTATATATGTTTTAGTATGTACATATTCGATTTGATTATGTATATATAATATTTATTTTACGCAGCACTGATAAATGCAGTTTAATTAATGTCTTACGGCGCCCAGTGTTGATATTTTCGTTGTGAGAGTAATTTTTAATTAATTTATTTTTAAGAATTTTCGTAGATTCTTTTTTTTTTGCAGATATTATTTTTTTAAAATTTTTAAATTTTTCGGAATACAAGTGTATATATGTATGTTTAATTTGTATGCGAATACTTACTCTTTATGCTCGGCTGCACGATCTCTTTGTCGGCGATTCTTAAACCAATTGGAAACCTGCATATGTAAGAAAGAAAAACAAATGTAAAAATAACATTAAAAATATGTTTTTGTCAGATTTTTACACAAATTTTTACACTGCATATACATATTAATGTATTATATTCAGAAAATCAAATATATTTATTTTTTTTTTTGTCAAAAATAGGTCATCTAAATGATTAATGAAATTTCTCGCATTTCTTACAAAATATACATAACTTAATTAGCTGCATTCAAGCGTTAAATACTCGCGCGATTATGTGTTGAGATTGATAAATGGTGCACAAGTATATTTTAGAAAAAAGTGTAATTTTTGACATTGAAAATTTTTAAATTTAAATGTAAAAAATTTAAAGCTGGCATGTTAATATGCTGAGAAGCAACATTTAAATGTATGCCAGCAATGTTATTTTTCGAATTTTTGAATATTTTTAACAAATTACATAGGAACGTTTTTTTTTTTATTTTTGTTTTTACTTTTTTTACGAAATATTTTTATTTATGTAAATAGTTTTAATATTTTTTTTGTTTGCTTTTAGCAATGATATATATTTATTTAATATATTTTTTTTAATATTTCTTTACTTTTCTGCAGTAAAGTTTTTTTATTATACAATCCATAGAAATTTTTTCAATATTTTTTCCCTTTTAACGAAAATTTTTATTTAATTATTTTAGTATTATTTTTTTACCTTTTTAATTAAATAAATATTTTTATATTTTTTTACTTTCTTAATGAAATATTTTTATTGGAATGTTTTTAATGTAAATCTTTATTTTCTTAATGAAATGTTTTTATTTTATTATATACCTATATTTCTTCATTTTTTAATGAAAAATTTTAATATTTTTTAAATTTTTAATGATATATTTTTAATATAGTTTGTTACTTTCTTAATGTATATAAGTTTTCAATTTTTAAATGAATTATTTTAATTTCAATATTTTTAATATTTTTTTGGCTTTTTACTTAAATATATTTAAATTTTTGGAACGTTTTAATAAATTTTTTTTTAATATTTTGTATTTATTCAGTTACTAATAATAATTTTTTTTTAATTATTTAATGAATTTTTTTTATCTTCTTAATGAAATAGTTTTGTAGAAATATTATTAATAATGTATATGTATTTTTTAACTTTTTAATGAAATATTTTTAATGTAAGTATTTTGTATTATTATGTCACAAATATTTTTCACTTTTTAATGAAATACTTTTATTTAAATAATTTAAAAAAAATGTAATAGGTTTTTTTTTTTAATTTTTACTTAAATATTTTTAATGTTTTTCGAACTGTTTAATTAAATAATTTTATTTGAATATTCTTAAATGTCCCTTTTCGCCTTTTTAATTAAATATTTTTAGCATTTTTATAAAAATATTAATATTTTTTATTTTTTTAATGAACTAATTTTAATATTTTCTTACCCTTTCCATATTTTTTTTTAATATTTCTATGTTTTTATTTAATATTTTTAATAATGTATATATTTTACACATTTTATTTAAATATTTTTCATTATTATTATATTTTACCAAGTTAAAATGTTTTTAGCACTTTTTAAAATAAAATATGAACATTTTGTAGTCCAACTTTTTTCGCTTTGGTATACATACATATTTGGAATGTACCCATATTTTGAATTTTTTTTGTTTATTTGTTTTCTGAATTCCATATTTTCCAAAGTTTAAAATCACTTAACATACTAATGTGTGTAATTTAAATTGAATTTTAACTTTTAAACGAAAATATTTTCTGCGTTTTTACCTGTGTGGTTGTCAGTCCTGTAGCCTCTGCTAATTCACGTTTCTCACGCGGAGAAGGATATGGATTGTGTGCGTACCAGTCTCTTAAAACCGAACGAGATTTCTCCTTTGGAAAGGTAAGAAAAATAAATATTTAGATATGTTAAATATTTTTAAAAAAATTTTGATTAAATGTTGCTATGAATTAATTTAAATCAAAATTTTTATAAAGAAACATTCAATATATTTTAGGTGACAAGACTGAGTTTCTAGAAAACTTTCAATATATTTTTTTTATTTATTTGTTAAAAAATACTTTTCCTCAAAATTTTTTTTTTTTTTCAAACTAAATTTAATAATAAACTCATAGTTATGCATTTTATATTTCCTTCCTTAACATTTATCATTTATATATATTTATACCTTTCAAAAGAAAATCTGAATTTTTAACACACATGAAAGGTTATAAGTTAATTAATTGAAGCCATTGTAACATTTATCCATTTTTTGAATAATCCTCACTGCAAATATTTCACCATTTCCAACATTTAATTTCACAACGAAATAGTTAGCAACCTTACAAGCTAAAATTCTCACATATGAAATTCTCGAGTTTATGTAAAATTATTATTTTTGTTAAACAAGTTCGAACATTACTACGATTTCATAAAATGTTTCCCTTTTATTTTTGTAAACTCGATTGAAGCCCACCCCAATTGAAGATATTTTACAGGCAGCAACATTTAACTTACCCTCACTGTAAATAAACTTCAAAATGCAACAGTGCCTTGTATGTACAATGCAATAACTTGTCAGTGTCAAAATTTTGCTTGGCGGACACATATTTACACCAACTTACTCGCACATACTCGTAAGTTATGCAGTTACATTCGCGCTCTTACTCACCTTGAAGCAGTAACTCGTCTCTTCACCATCCCAAATTGTGCGTGGCAGTGGAAATTTGCGGCGTACACGATATTTACCAACAGCACCTAAGGGTCTTCCGCGCAGTTTTTCGGCTTCAACATAATGCGCTACATTTAAATAAATATACAAAGTATAATATAAGGATAAGGAAAGAAATTAATATAAAAAAAAGCTCAATGAAAATTAAAAAGGAGTGAATGACTCCTGCTAGCAGAGCGCATAGGCAAGTGTTGGCTTGAGTTTTTTTTTTTTTTTGGTCTATTTCTCATAATTTTTATTTACCTTTCAGCCAGAGCGCCTGCAATTTGGCATGATTATGCGGTGAGAATTGATGATGTTCAAGTAGACGATATAATTCCTTATATTGTCCACGATGGAATGCAACAACGGCCTTCGCTTTAAGCACGGACTCGTTCAATTGCAGTTTATCACATTGCGGTAAGGACCAGAGGAAACGGCCCAGTCTTTCGATATTGCCAGCTTGTTGGAGTACCTAGAATAAATGAAATAAAAAGAAAAAAATATACAGGCGTAGGAAACAGGACGTTAAAAACAAACATTACAAAAAAATAAAATAAATATAGATTAAAAAAAATTAAAACAAATTAGAACAAATTAAACAAAAAAATTAAAACAAATAATAATATTAATAACAAAAAAAGCATTAAAAAAAACAAAAAAAAACGAATAAAAGGTGCAACGCCAATAAGAAAATTTAACTTCATTTTTAAGGTTATAAAAGAAAATTCCGTACTCACCTCACACACGCACGCCACTTGCTCTTGTGTAAAACCAAAACTGGGCAACGTTTCACGTCCATTACTACCACCATTACCATTGCCGAGATGACCACCGATGCTTGGTCCCACCAGACTGCCGTTATGTCCCAGCATATCCAAATTATTATTGCTTGTATTGTTGTTATTATTATTGCTAAGGCCGGCGCCAGCGCTGATTAAGCCCGTCGGACTGTAGGGTGGCGTTTGACGCGCACTCAATACGGCAGCATTGGCGGCAGCCAAGTCGTAAAAGTCTGTGGCGGTGTGTTGCAGCATTTTGTTGTTGGTTTTTATTTTTTATTTACGTTGAAATCTATTATTTTTTAATCAGACTTTAGTTTAAGTTCTTTTTTTAACTTAAATACTTTTGAGCTTTTCGCATGAGTTGCAATGGTGGAAATGCTCGATCATAATTTTTTCGGGTGCAAATGCTGAAAAATATAAAGAGAACAGTTGTTAATTACAGTGTATTGTATTTTTTAATTTTAAATAATTTATAAAATTATTATGAGCATCATATAGCATACATAATCTTCATAAAATAGAAAGACCTCCAGTTATAACCCCAATAGAGGCTCATCAAATCGACAAAAGCGGTTACAAGAGAAGACTTAGCATAAAACTTTTCAGAAACTCTAAGGAGTTCTCCATTTTAATAATAAAAAAACGATCAGTTGTGTGCCTTTGAACTTAAATTGGCACTCATTAATAAAGAAAACTAATTTTCTTTTAAAATGAAAATTAATAATTTTTTTTTAAGCAAAATACAATAAATTACATACATTTCACATGTTTTCTCATTTCAGTTCTAATCTCGAAACACTTTTCTCTCACACCTCTATACACTTTTATACATAAATATAAAAATGATCATTCTCAGTTTCTGTGTTGTGTGCTCAAAATATTTTTTTTTTAATTTTGAAGTTTTTACTCTCTCTCTCTCTCTCTCTCTCTTTTGCGTCATTTTCACTCGCGAGCACAGAACATTACATCTCGTCGACGCTTCTATAGAACGAAAGCATTTGGCCGCCTGCCAATAACAAAATCTCAAATAACGCAGATCGGTTCACTCAACACAACACAAATAAGCAATAAATAGAAGTTTCGTATTTCATTTTTAGAAATTACCAAATGTTTACATATAATTTGAGCATTTTTCTACACCGAAAATCGGACAATCAAATGTTCAATTAAATAAAGGCAACATGCATACAGATTTATATATTGAAGACATTTCTTTTCGTACCTAATTGTGCTTGCGATGAATAAGCGACTGAAATTGTAAAAATAAATTTACTTTGAACAGGCGAAGATTATTTTTTCACTATAAATATAATAAAAAAATTTTGAAATTTTATTAAAAAATTTTTGTTTTAAGTTTTTGTTAGAAAAAATAGTAAACGAGCTTTTACATTTTTTTTTTACTATTTATAATGGCTAATATTAATTTTATTTTTTGTTATTTTGCTTAACTTTTACTGAATATTATTTTTTATATTATATATATATAATATTTCGTTCATTCCTTTTTCGTATTACATTATATATCATATGTTAATTTTTAATCCATTTTAATTTATTTCTGTTTTATTTAGTTTTATTAAATTATACTTAATTTTCATAAAGTTTTATTTAATTTCATTTTACAATATTTTAACTTATTTAATTTAATTTATTTAATTTAATTTAAGTTCATTTATTTTTTATTTTTATTTATTTCATTTTTATTTTATTTCAATTTATTTTCTTATTATTATTTTTTATTTAACTTCATTTTTTTAAACTTTATTTTATTTTATTTTATTTTATTTTATTTTATTTTATTTTATTTTATTTTATTTTATTTTATTTTATTTGATTTGATTTTATTTTATTTTATTTTATTTTATTTGATTTGATTTTATTTTATTTTATTTTATTTTATTTTATTTTATTTTATTTTATTTTATTTTATTTTATTTTATTTTATTTTATTTTATTTTATTTTATTTTATTTCGTTTCATTTTATCTTTTCGAGTTTTTTGAATTCATTTTTATTTTTATTACTTACTGTTATTAGGTTAACTTTATTTATATTTAATTGAATTTAGTTTTTAATTTTATATAATTTGTTTTTATTAATAGAAATTACTTAAATTTTTTCACTTTAATTATTTGTATTACTTTATTTTGTTTTTTTTTTTTTGTATTTTACTTCACTTCCGTTCATTTTATTTCCTTTCTATTTATTTTAAATTCATTTCTCCAACTTTTCAATTTCGTTTTTTTTTCATAATTATTTCTATTTTATTTATTATTTTTTTTTATATTTAATTCAATTTAAGTTTTAATTTTTTATATATCTATATTTTAAAATATTTATTTTATTTTATCTTTTATTTTATTTTTCGTTTCATTTCGATATATTTGTTTTTCTTTTATTTATTTTTAAATTCAATTAATTATATTTTATTATTTATTATTCTTAAATTTGTTTATTTTTTTAAGTATTTTTTTAATTGCATCACACTATAAAATGTTGTTTACTTCAAAGTTTTCGCCATTAACCCCATTTAATGAGTCTTTCGCAAATTTTCCATAATGGCCTAAATTTTTTTATTGAAATATGAAAATTTGAAATTTTCCATTCATTCATTTTTTAATTTTGCCCTTGGGATAATCAAATTAAATGCTTTATTGCCAGTTCACTTCCGTTTATAAATATAAATTCGGTTCATTACTTTGTTTGCAGCTCATTGGAAGCGGCATCATGCTGAGAGATTTAAAATTTTTTTTTAATAAAAAAACGTGCAATTTTCTCTCTTATCTGGGAAATTAGTATGATTTAAATTACTCAATAAACACTTATAATTTAAGCTTTTGCAATAAAAAATGGATTTCACAAGAATTATAAATTTAAAATTGTAATAAATTAATTAAATTATAGTGTTTTGAGAAAATTTCAGAGCATAAAAATATCTTAATGACTGAAAACATTTGTTTTTTTAACTTTTTCATGATTAATACATTTTATTTTATTTAAATTTATTTCGTATTTTATTATATTTATTTATTTATTTTTCAATTTATTTTATTTCATTTCGCTTTATTTTATTTTATTTTATTTTGTTTTATTTAATTTAATTTAATTTAATAAGTATTTAATTTATTTTATGTTATTTTTTTTATGTATTTTTTATTTTGTTTAATTTTATCTTAATTTATTATATTATTTATATTTTATTTGACTTGATTTGATTCAATTTAATTGTGTTTTGCTGTATCTTCTTTTTTTATTTTTCTATGATATTTTAAATTATTTTATGTTATTTTATATTATTTCATCTTATTTTACATAATTTATTTTGTTTTATTTTTTTCTTTGTTTTATTCTATTTTTTCTTTCTTTTATTTTATTCTATTTTTCTCTCTTTTATTTTGTTTTCTATTTTATTGTATTTTACACCCCAGTTTTTAATTGCAAACAATTTTACATCTTCCTCACTTTAGCATATTTCTTTTAGCTTATTTCATTTCACTCACATTTATTTGATTCACTTTCATTTTCATTTGCATTTGATTGCCTTCCATTTGATTTCTTGTGTACGAGTATATTTTACACATTCAGCGTCCGCTTGAATGAAAACACTTATTCAAAAATAAACCCACTATATGTGCATTCTTCGTAGATATATTAACAAGAATTCTAAAATTACACAGCCCCCTTTAGCTCTCTGCTGCGCCTAATCCATCCTTTTCAACTGCGGCGCAGTTTCGTGGTGTTATTTTCTTCTTCTTCGGAGAGGTCACCTCATAACGTATCGTATGTTATACACAGCAGTAGCAGCAGCAGCAGCAGCAGCGACAGCAGGCAGCGTTCGTATAAGCATCGAAATCAACAGATCGTATTCATTTTCTGCTGCACTCGTATATCTCTCTCGTGCACAAACATTCTCTTGTATTTTGGTTTGTTGTTCTTTATCTGTTTATTAAACGAATTCGATACCATTGAGACGTTGGCTTTGAGATTTGGTAGAGAATTTTGGAAATTAAATTTAGAGAGAAAATATGATTTTTATAGAGCTGATGTAAAGTAGGCCCATATTGATCAGAGAATTAAAGAAAATGCTGATGTAATTATGGTATTCGAAAATCATAAGTAATTCAAGCACAGTTTCGATGCCCACACTGAGCTTAGCTTCTGCGGATTATTCGTAAGAGGTGAGTAAAATCTAAGAGTTTCCGCGACAGTCAGGTCCTTATTCTGGAAGAAATCGAACTTTTATACCGCCAGGGGATGCTACTTCTTCCACCTTTGCCAAAACTTAATTTGGAGAATATTTTTATATTTACAACAACAATATAAATCTCAGCTTAGCCCGTTAACGATTCAAACTACACAGATATTCGTCCAGAAACCTTAACAACCCGAAATATCTCAGCCCAGGTTGGTAGATGGACAGATAAGAATAGTTGCCGATGTGGCGCTTCACACTTAGGGTTTTATGAAACACTTCACGAACTGATCTCGACTCTGCGTGCACATGTGATACACTTGATGCTTGTTTTAGAGCTCCTGAGCTCTTACTGTATACCAGGGAGGTACTTTACGATAAGGCTGCTTTACGTGCCGAGTCAAAGTGAATTCGCTGAAAACGGTAAAATTGATGTATTGGTAGAGATGGGTATCTTTAGTCGATTTCAACGTTTAAGAGACCGATAGGGAATGCTTTGGACTCACCATGGTCTTATTCTGCACAGATGGGCCTCGCGTCAGCTTAACGCATGTTGGACTACCACAACGATGGACATGCTATAGGATGGCTCGTGGAAGATTCTACTCTCGCAAGGTGGAGATCCTTGTAACTTGGCATTCACATCATCCATAACACAAGTGAACTGATGGATTTTGATCTTCGCATATTCCAAATAGGCATTAAAGGAAAAGTGGTAAAATTGTCTAAGTGAGACTTAAACTGAACTATAATGAGCCACATTCAGTATCATAATCAGAAATTTATTACGGAGCTGTCGCATGACAGGTGGGAAAACAAGTTTCTTTTCTCAAGTTCATCACCTGGGCGGGACCACCAACCTTTCTGCATTTAATCGTATTAATAAATGACCTGTCGAGATGGCAACTACCTTACTCCTTTCTGAGAACACATAAACCCAACGATTTTCTTCGACTACTCTTTTGGTTCCACGAGTACTTTGACCAAGTTTGCTTCGACTTTGGAGAAACCAAGTTCTGTATACATCTGAATGATTTTCTATCAAATGGAGGGACCTACAGTATATTCTAATCCGCCTTTGAACGAGCTATGACTCTTTATGAGAAGCTTTATATTCCTGTCAGAAATACAATCGGAAGGCTTGACAGTTCCTGATGAAGAGCGATCGCATTTGGAAAAGAAAAATTTTCTACAATTTTTTTAGGTTGGCCGGACC